AGGCAGATCACATGGTAAAAGGCATTTGTAGGCAGTGTTGGTCCATCAGACTGATGCCCAGACTGGAGACAGGAGTTTATAGCTTTTTGACTGTTTCTTTCTCTGAACTTAGAGATGTCTGCGAGGGTAGGTGCTGGGAGATGCACCTATTCCCCTACTCCTGGCTGGCCAGATAAAAGTGCCATCTCAGTTCAGCACTGCCTGGCTCTGCACCTCCCTGGAGGTTTTCAGGTGGTTATAGAGGCCACCAGGAGGTTGCCAAAGCAAAGCCTTATAGGAGAACTAAGGGATGATCTGTAAGCCTGAGAATTGTGACTGAATTTGATTTTGAGCCAGTGCTGCCCTCTGCTGAAAGGAATGCTTTTCTGATGATATAAAATAATGCTTTTTGTTACTTGAAATTAAGCAAGAAACTGACTAAAACTCTTCTGCAAAAAGATAACATGTACTGTTTAGATGATTGAGTTGAAATCTATATTTTCTTGAAATAATATCAACTTTCCTGTTTGTCAAACCCAGACGATGCATAGTTGGGTGGGTGAGGATTTACCAGCTAGGACAACTACAGCCTCCTCAGGGCCTGGTGAAGGAAACTTGGAAGAGAAATGTAAACAGGTAGACTGAAAGCCTTGTGCACTAATCACACTAATTGTGTTTGGAGTCTCAACTCAACTGTCTAGCTGTGTAAAGAGACCTGGACTGGAAGCCTGAAAAAAGTGTGTCTGTCTGAAGTAATTTTTGGCTTTGGTGTGCTTCCCTGTTAACTCTTTTGTTGTGGTCCCTCATAAAGGGTCAGGGTATGAAGTCCTCTCCTTTTATGGAGCTGCCAGTGTTGGGAGCCCATTGGCAACAGATGTTTGAGTAACTTGGAAATTGTCTTCATATAGCTCAAGCAACTGCTTATTGTGCTTGGTTCACTGGACCAGCAGCAGCAATCATAAGGCACTTGTATTAACTTTAGGTCACTGACCACATTTCTTTTCTAAAATCAGTGGATTTTTCCAGTTAACCTGGAACTTTTTGCTTAATAAGCCCAAACCATTTCAAAAAGACTTTATTATAATTCAACCAAGTTGCAAGGGTTACATATTTTGACAAATCTGGCTATCATTCACTGTCTAGGTGAAACTAAAAAGAAATGTTGCTAAAGCATTTGTGTCCCTTTAGCAGCCGACACTGTTGGACAGCATGAATTGCACTGACCTAAGTGTGAAACTCTGGGAGCTGCTACTGGCTTGTGGAACTCTATCCCTCACTGCATTGTGATAAGGAAAATAATGAAGTTACATAAGCAGTCCTTTGCAAATGATTCAAGAGCCTGACACAGAGCCAGACCCCCTCTCTAGCATAGTCAGGCTCTGAAGTCACTGGAGTTTCTCCAGCTCAAGCCAGCAGAGAACGGCTTCATTAAGATTAGATAATCTGTAGGGTCTACATTATATGTCACTGAAAGGAGATGGATTAATGTTCCCTACTAATGGTACAGGGACACAAAGGCAAGGGAAAATTCAGATATTACTCTTTCTTCAGACTACGTATCATCAAGCATGAATGTTGCATGGAGAATGTTTGTATAGTGTACAGAAATAAGTTTTTTATTGCTTGTTAAATATATCTACTCTGTCAGTATTCTAATAAAAAAAGATTTTCAGAAGATAACCAGTGGTTCAGAGATTATGAAAATATCTCACAGATTTAAAACTGTTAGAAACATTATCTGTAAAATATGTCCTTTGACTAGATAAATGTATGCTAGATAAATGAAACTTAAAGGATTATCAAGTGTGCCAGATCTGACTATTAAAACAGATGCAGAAATGGTGCTCCTGATGCTCTTCATTACTGAAATAAAATTAACTGTATTAGAGTTGGGAAGTATTGCAGGAGTGAAACTTGAAACATGTTATAAATGTGATTTCAAGCTAGGATGTACCTTCCAGCTTTTGAGGCCAGTAGTAACAGTGTTGATCTTATGGTAGCAGAGACCAAGACCTTTTTCTGTTAAATATTAAGTAGGAATTTATGCCTGCACTTTCAAATAATGGCTTTTACCTGAAATAAACCTGGAAGTGCAGTTGGATAGGTGAGGACTATTTAGAAAGAACATAGACAGGGTTTACCCATGTAACTCCAGCGATGCCTTTGAGACCTTTACTGGAGCACCACTCCCAGGATGTAGAAGTACTTGGCTTTATGTCAAAAAGCATAGACTACAAGTCTACTCTCTTTGAGGCCACAGAAGATTGTGAGTATTGGGAGCTACTGTTCAGCACTTCATTTAAAGCCCAGTGACTATTTGCAGGCGACAGCAAAGCTGCTGAAGCACACTGCGTACACAGAATACTGGCAGACACTCCTAAAGACAAGCTGTATTTTGTGCCAAGAGGGAGGGTGGACACAGTTCTGTTTTTATTAAAGCCAAAACACAAAAGTGGAACAAAATTGAAGTGACTGGTGAGACCTGAAACTTTTCTCAGCTACTCCTGTAGGATAATGTCTGTGCTATTATTGTTTGTGTGTTAGGGTTAAATTGTCCCAGTTAGATAACTCTGTGCTTCAAAGTGAAGCCACAGAATCATAAACTCCCTGGTGGAGCTTTGGTAAAGGTTTTGCTCAGATCTGTGAGATGCATCTTGAACATCTCTGGCACACAAGAAAGGTACCTCCAGAATGTCCCATGATAGCGTGACTGTGATCTTGCACCTGTTTGCTTTGTTTACTTAGGAAGTCTCCAAGGATGGACTTCATTTCTAACCCATCAGTGGGAGATATGTGGGACAAAGGTATCCGAAATCCTTTCCCAACTTGGGCAGCCCCTGATTTATCAGTTGATCTCTCCAGATATTCTAGTTTGAGCAATCTCTCAATCTGGGAACCTTGTTGATCACTTTGTGTGGATTTTGGTTGGGGTGGGGGAGGTGTTCATGGTTTTTATTTATTTCTTTATATTATTTACTTTATTTTTTATCTCAGTGAATGTGAGATCTGCTTGTTATGACACAGAGGATCTGCATGCCCACTCCTAACCAAGGATACGCATGCCATTCACAAACAGGAATGTACTTTGGCATGACTTGTCACTTTGCATTCAGTTCAACATGCTGTTTGTTGTTCTGAGATCTCTTGTTTGCAGTAATATTTTTATTACAGAAAATACTATGCTGGTGAAAACTTAAAAGTTCTTGGATCAAAATGGACAGAAATACACATCCTTGTTGGATACCAGGCAGGCTTCCTGGCAGAGTTGCCCAAAACTTTGGGTCAGAGGAGTATATGGATATGGAGGATATGGAGTTAAGAAACTCATGGGGAAAATTATCTCCCCACTTCTTTCATCCTTAGATTTTTAGTATGGAGTGAATAATATCATATTGTGTTTCTGTTGAAGTCGGTGAGAGTTTTGTCAGGAGGCATCATGATCCATCTGGAATGAAATCTGAAGACTTTGCTGCAGTCCTTGGAAGCCTGTTGAGTGTTCTGTGCCTCGGTTTCTTTGTTGGCCATATGAAAAGGATGATACTTACCAAACTTCATGGATGGAAAATGTTTCTATATACAAAGCCGTGTTAGTTGCTGCTGATAGCAGAAGGAGCAGTATAGCCTGAATTGCAGTTTGCACACTGAAACAAGGAGATACTTTGATTCCCCTCCACTATGACAGGGTTCTTGTGTACCCAAGTTCATCATCTGTTAAAGATTCTGCTCCACAGGGAACTGCAGATACACTTAATTATTGCAACTGTACAAACACATTACTTATTAAAAACTCCTTTAAATTGATGAGAACAATAAATGCACATTTATCCCCACAGCAGGGAATTACATTTATACCCTCTTCAAAGTTCTTTTTCATTTTTAGGAGGTTTTAGAAAGTTCCTGAAAGGGTCAAACACAAGTGTCGGCTCTTCCTAAGCCTGTGTGTATGCTGTTCCAAAATAAGAGCATGTGTGGTTTTTGCTGCTTACTTTGTGAGCCCAAGCCGCTATCAGAGGTCCTTCATCATTGCTTCATTATTATTGTTCTTTTAATCAGTGCTTGTATTTTTGTATACTTTCTAAGTAAAGGCATGGAGGGGAAAAAAACAGAATTGGTGCAATTCACCCAGGTTGGATGCTGCTGGGGAAGTCTAGTTAGGAACATGTGATGTTAATTACTCTTGCAGAAATGCACACTGTGATTTATTCCGCTTCCATTCCCATTTGATTCCATTGTCTTAGTTCAGGATATGCAGAGCTGTATGTTTGCTAATGGATTAGTGGAGATCCTGTTCTGGCAGTGGTTCTGTGAGGCAGATAAAGCAAACCCTGTCCAGTAAAATTAATGGTAAAATTCTCAATTGTTTCAGTGGTACCCTGGTTTCGCTTATTAAATTTAGGAAATCTGGTGAGGTTTAGCCTGTCCGTGGTCAAGAGAATGGTGGTTCTTGCCATCCTAGTAGATCTTCCACTTCAGATGGAGTCTTCTGTTGCTGAAACAGCCTCAATGGTGAGACTTGCAAGGAGAGGTGGATGGTCTGATGAAACAAACTTGTCAGATCCTTAGGAAGAGGAGATATTGGTTGGAAAGAGAAGTAGTCCCATTCACACTTAAAATAAAAAGCATGGAAACGACAAATTGCAGTCCTAGATCCTTCATACTTATCTGAGTTTCTGGTTTTATTTGTTTTCAGTAATTTTTTGCAGTAACTTGTTCAATTGAAATATGTGCTGGACAGGTAAGAGTTTCTCATTAGCTGCGAATAGCTGTACACTTAATATCTAAGAAATTAATGAAATAAATGCAAAAATATATTGTAAACTCTAAGAACTAAAAAATTGACTGTAGCTGTTAGTAATTCCTTATGATACATCACAGAGAACATTTCAAAAATTTGTCTGCTATGGAAGTCTTGTTCTTGAATGAAACACACATCCTGTTTCTGTAAGGTTCATTACTAACAGAATGCATGTTCTTTTCAAAGAAAAAAAACCTGATGGTCTCTTCTTTCTTCTTCCTTTCAGGCAGCACAAATAGTCCTGATTTCTCTCTTTGAATTGAACACTCCTGAGTTTACCATGTTACTTGGTGCCTTGCCAAAAACATTCCAGGATGGTGCTACCAAGCTCCTGCACAACCACCTCAAGAACTCCAGTAACACCAGTGTGGTGAGAAGCCCTTGTCCTTGCAAACAGCGGAACCCCAAAGGGAGCAGCTCATTGATAAGCTGTTACAGATGTTCAGTAGTTTGAATTATCTGTAACTGTTGTCTTGAAGCAATATGGCAACAGAGGCTTTTATTTGATGGTACTTTTATAGGGGCCATTAAAATAAGAAACTCAGTTATTTTAAAGTTTAATATAGTCATAACCAGAAGAGATTAAAAAATGACTGAGAAGTGCATAAAAATTGGTAGGGTTTGTGCTTTCAAGTTGGTGGTGCTTTTGAAAATCCTGCCAGTAATGACTTTTGACTAAAACAGATCATGACACCACAGATTTTCTGAGCTTTTGACTATTATTGAAATCAGTTTAATAACAGATGTATTATCTGTGAAGAAACTTGCAGGACCTTCAATGTGACCTACAAGGTCATCTCAGTCTATGCCTAGTATCTTATGTTTTGCTTTACTATTTATCTCTTACATATTTTTATTTCCCTGAAGGAATATGTTAGTAGAGAATTTAAGTAAGAAATTTCTTCTTCCCCCCCGCCCCTGAGTACTCCCTCCCTATCTTTGCACTTCGATGGGGACAAGTAGAGCTTTGTGTAAGCTAGAACTGCAGCGTTAGGCTTCCAGGCAGATGGTCTGGATTCTCTAGTACTTTTTGTGTGAAGAGTGTCGGAATTGAGAGCAATTTCTACTCATTTTGCTGTGGTATAAATGGTTGTGCAGGCCAGTGGAAAAATGATAAGTTAGACTGCTTACTTATGCTCGTAACAAGCATAATCAGAATGCTTTAGACAATGTGGAAAATAGCTGCGTAATTAAAATGTTAAATTGCCAGGATAATGGTCTGCATATTTTGGAGCCTGGCAAATCGTTTCTGAGAAGCTGGATAGCCTGCTGAATTGACAAACCATTTCTCTGGCACTATTTTCAGGCTGTACATGTTGTGTAGTTAAAATTTCAGGTACTGTGGATTGTAGAGAAACGTACATATAGTTTCTTTATTCTCAGAGTAGTACCTTCAGGAACATATTAATGACTACATGAACCATGGCTGCAGTTTTTTAGGTCAAGAAGCAAAATAAACACTGCACAAAGCTTGTCTAGGGCAAACAAAGGCAGTGTTTGGACCTGTTGTATTCCTGCCTGTGCATTGCAACATATTGCTAATCTTTGTCTTCCTGCTTCTGTGTCAGGGTTCCCCCAGCAATACCCTTGGTCGGACTCCTTCCCGGCACTCCAGCAGCAGAACCAGCCCCTTAACTTCACCTACCAACTGTTCCCATGGTGGACTGTCTCCAAGGTAATGTGGCAGGCTAATTAAATCACTTGCAAAATATTAAAGGATTTCAACACTGAGTGTGCATTTGTAGAATATGACTCACTTTGAAAGCAAAAACAAGATGGAAAGGTTACAGTAGATTGCTCCAAAGAAACAGGGTTTGAACATGATAATACATGGTTGGTGATTGACTTCAGTATTCCAGACCTCATGTTATCTGTGTAATCTTAGTGTCTTTTCTTATAATATTAATTTGCTTTCATAACTAGGCCTTCTCCAAACTACATTTGTGGGGTCAATGAAAGTAATATTAAATGGCAGCATTAGAAATAAAATCTCGTTGAGGTTGCATATATCACAAAAGATAGACTGAATTTCAGGTCAGGTGTTTCAGATTGTGTCTACTTTTCAGGTGTGCACTTGTGATCAATAATTCCTCTGACTGTAGTGCAGTGCTTGTGCTGCTGAGAGAAGTACTGCATCTCCTGTTCCCTTCTTATTCTTTGTGAGAATGCAGGACAAGCAGAGGTGGTGACTGTGTTTCAGTGCTGAATATCCCTCAAATTGCTCACCTGACTGCTCACCAGCAGAGCAGTGGCTTGATCTTTTGGGCGGTGGTCTGCTGCTACCACTTGTTTTGCTGAAGCTACAGATGCTACCCTGGATTATATTGGTCCAAAATCTTTTATTGAGTCAATGTGGACTCTTGGATTTTGGGAATGTAGATGTTTTGCATCATAAAAACTTAGAGCAAAGGAGATGACAATTTAAACAGTATGTTCTGGGAGCATAGAAATATTGGAGAAAAGTATTAAGTTGTTACCTGGACAAGCTGATTCATGCTGGGGAAGCTTAAAAGCTGCTGCTCTTGTCTGCCTGCCCTCTCCATGGGAGGTCGCTTCCCTTTGTCTTAGAAGAAACAAAAGGGTGAGGACTGCAGTTCTTAGTCCAATATAGTAATTTACACTGAAATATGTTGATCTGCCCTTGCTATGACTTGCAAAACTCTGTCTGGAGGGATGCTTAGACATGTGAGTGAGTTTCCATGTGTCAGGAAAAGTACAGGCCTTTAGCCTTTAATGAGTAGCTAATTCCAGCAGCACAGGAGCACATGGGGTTTCCTGAGAAAATTTTGTATATCTAAATTCATCTTTGTGACCCCTAAATCTGCTGTAATGCAGAACTAAAGCAAGAGTTTGTAAGCTAAGGTCGAGTTGCTTATTATGAGTTTTTCCACAAAGGTGTCATTGAGAAATTAAGTGGTAGAGTTTCAGGGGAATGGTTTCAACTGTGTTGCTTCCTTTTCAACTAGCTCGAGCATTGTTGCCCTGCTGATTTCTGTCATGGGAAATTATTAACTGAGATATGTCTCCTTGTGGTTGCGTTGTGGCTTTGTTAGCCAAGTTTGTATGTGGCACTTATTTTATAATTCCACAACTTTTTACCATGCTTTTTGGGATTTCCCACTGGGACACAACTGTGTTTTTCCACTTCACTCACTGCTTTGCATTTTGTCTTTGCATTCTTCTCACCTCTTGATATCAAAATATGGATTGAAACGTTCAGTGTGGATTGTTGCTGTTGTTTTCTAGCATTTTGAGTTTAGGAAGTGGAGGGTTTTTTAGCCCATGTCATTTGTTCTCAAGGAATAGTTAGAGAGGGCATGTAATTCCAGAGCATTCTGCCATTAAGTCAAGACCAAAACTGCCGTGGATGCAGTGGGCTGGGAATTTCCTTTAGAAAACAATTATTCCTTCAATTTTCTGTGGAGTTCTTGGAGATGTTGAATCAGAAAGTTAGATGTCTTTTCAAGAAGTGTGTCCTGCTTCCTTGCTGGATTTAGTTATTCAAGAGTGATGTTTAAAAGTTACTCTTCAGTGGCAGGTGAAGGAGGAAGCTGCTATGTAAACCCTTTAAAATATTGAGGGAAGAAGTTCTGCTTTTTTGGTGAGCAACCTCTGAGCAATAACAATAGCTGGAGATTTTTACCATTTGTAAAAATGGCAGCAAGTACTGCAAATCAGGGGCAGTAGCTTCTGATGCTCTGTGGACTGCATCCTTCTTGAAAATGTCTTATGTAGCACAGTTTGGCCATGATCCTGGCTTACAAGGGAGAATTAGCTCTGGTTGTCCTTCTTTTAGAAACAGGCTTTGGAATACGTGCTGACAGATTGAGTGAAGTAGGGTACAGTGTAGTATAGCATTTTTTGGGATAGCTGCTGCAGTAGCTTGTTTCCATTACAAATACTTGTCATTTGCTATTCATCAGTGGGGTAAAGTGTCACTTTTCTCTCTTCAAACTTGAAACATAAGCACACCCTGGTCATTCTGACAGCATTGTAAAAGGATAAAGATTCCCAGTTTCTTCGTGTAGCCCTCCTCCAGAGCTAGGCTTGGCTTTACATTTTCATGGGACCCATTGCCAAAGGTTTGTAGCGAGGTTGTGTATGCCTGTTGATTCCTGGGGTGCTCCGTGTGCTGGCCCTGCCTACCTTGTCCCTACCTGTGTCTTGTAAAGCCAGCCTGAGTGCAGTCAGTGGAAGGATTATCTCCAGTTCTTAATGCCAGCTTTAGTTTTGAAGGTTAGACTTTCCTTTGATTTTTTTCTTGATGCACAGATTGGAGTCTTATCTAGAGACATACCTGTCTTTGGGGCTGAGATATAAGTAGGAAGGATGTTTGGGTCCTCATGTAGGAATATAAAAAAGCTGCTAAGCATAGCTGCTCTCCCATTTTACTAATGGTTTGTGAACAATATCCCCAGTATTAATCATCAGGGCTTCATTGATACAAACTAACTGTATTATGCATGTGTTCCAGATGACTGATTTTTTGAGGTGTATTGGGCTCTCTGAATAGATTTTGAATGTTTTGGTTGAAGTGAACTCCTCCAACAGCTAATTTGCCTATCCGGATGATAACATCTGCTAAGTATGCCCTGATGTTAGGTCTTCAGAAGGGTAACATGCCTTCAGGGCCTTGGACAGAGTCTTTTCTCCTGCCTTCGTTTCCTCCCTCCAGTTCTTCATGATCACTATAACACATCCACTACATCTGTGAGTTATTTCTGCATTTGTACCTGCCTTTTTTTTTTTTTTCCCTTGGCAGTTTTAGTTTTTGGTGAGAGGAGTTATGGAAGAAAGAGGTGCTTTCTGAGGAGAAGAAAAGCAGGGAAGGGTACTTGGGAAGACTGAAAATAATAGGAAAAAAACCCCAGACTTTAGACTGAGAGAAAAGAATGTTCCCTAGGCAATTCACAGATGAATGGCTTGAGTTTGTGTTGGACAGAGAAAATCTTCTGAGATTTAATAAATGATGCTGTATGACAAAAAGAAAAACACTTAAGTTGTGAAGTCCTTTAGTGTAAGAGTACTGTTCTGAATGGTGAAGGACCATCTGTAAAGTCAAGTGTTACATTCAGATTGGAAAATTTCACCTAGAATTCTGTAGGACTATTTGAAGGAATATCCAATGAATACATTTGCCCTGTTGTTTCTGCCATTATTAGTAGTCCAGAAGCGTGTACGTGGTTCTAATTATTAAAATCAAACAAAAACCACCTAAAGAAAAAAACCAATTTAGTCCTTCAAAGATCTCTAGAGGAAATGCATCAAATAAAAGGCTTAACTATTTTATCTGGCTATGTAAGTTTGCGTGTTTACTTTTTCACCGATAATAGAAAATACCACTAAAAATAAAATTTGACACTTTCAGTATTAAGTTTAGCAAGTCAAGGCATGGAAACAATTAAAATCAAGCCACCCACTTTATACAGTAAGGACAAGCCTGCATTGTTTGGTGGCCTCTTTGCAGGTAGGTGAGACCTGAGCTGTGAGACTTCTGATCAGCAGTCTGGGAGTGTGGGGTATTTCCATAATAATAGTGGCATGTAATAGCTATGGGTTTGATTGCTATTTAAGGAGTGAATTTCTTGACACTACTCTTCAGAGGAATTTTCAACTGGCTTTGCTGCTGTTTGCACTGGAGCAATTCTTGACTTGTTTGCCCCTTCTGATCTTACGATATCTTTCACTTGCATATATTAAAATACGACATTGCAAGACAGTGTGCTGTGTAATAGAAACAAAGTAGTGTCGTGAATACTCCATCAGCTCAAGCATCTGTATTTTCATTTAGAAGGTGATTTTGAAAATCCACGTACCATAAACAGAACAGAACAAACGCAGAGGTTAAACAAATTGACACAGGGATGGATGCCTTGACCCAAAGGCGCCGGATCAAACAAAACCCCAGAGGGGCTTGTGGAAGTTTAAGGAGAGATCTGAATCAACTCAGAAACCGATGTCACCCAGTCTTTCCAGTTCTGTCTGCTGAGACATGAGCCAAGTACCCAGTTTACATGATATGTTCATACTCTAGACTGACTTTCACTTGCTGCATATTTGGGTTCAGTTTGAATCTGGTGAAATAGGATCAGATCTAAAGCCCTCTAAAGATTTGCTGATTGTTTAGGGCCTGATTGCAGGCTCTTATAGAGGCACCAGGAGACAAACTTCATAAGGTACTTTCAGGTGCCTGATAAAAAAATAAACTCCAATTTTCCTTTCTTCCAGGGAAATCCTGTTGCTTAGAAATATGTGCTTAGAGTTTGAATGCAGATGCGTGGTCAGGAATTGGTTACGTAGAACATTATAAGAGTTGTTTATAGAGACTATATCCATTTGTAAAATCTACTGGTTAGTACAAGCAGGGACTGGTTTTTTATGAATCATATTATTATGTTAGGAATAAAAATGGAAATTAATAATAAAGGCCAAAACAATGACTTGTGAGGCTCAACGGAGTATTCTTGTTTAATTTTGTTTCTATTAATTTTTTTTCTCTCTCCAAGGCAGCATGACAGCACTAAGCCACTCAGATTATAGTTTCTTTTTTTTTTTTTCCCTCCCTCTCCTTTCTCTGTTTTTTTCTCTCTTTTGTTTCTCCTCTGATCACGGCAGTCGGCTCTGGGGTTGGAGTGCAGATGGGCTGTCGAAGCACCCCCCTCCCCTTTCTCAGCCTAACTCCATCCCCACTGCTCCTTCCCACAAGACTTTCAGACGCTCTTACTCTCCCAGGTAACAAGCTACCTGTTAAACCAACTTGTCTGAGGTGTCACAGTATTATTTACCTTTCATACTGTGGGATTTGTTCAAATGTGGGACTTCAGAGGCTTTGGTTTGAAAAGAGATGATGACAGCTTTCAGAGAGCACAGATGATGGGTAGCCACTTGCTCGCTGCTTGGGGAAGATGCAGCATGTAAGCAGTGAAAAAAGGAGTTTTTTCAGACTCTTACACCCATTCAGGAAGGTGGCAGGGAGGTGCTTCACAGTTGGTTTCCAACACAGAACACAGTTGCTGAGCACTTTTGGCAGGCACTGGTTGCGTTATGATACTATGGGCAGGATCTTCAATTTGGCTACACTGTGCGCCTGAGTATTTTTAAATGGCAAATACAGCTCAGGAGTGACTTCACACCGAACCTTACGTATCATTTTAACAGCTGCTTGCATAGTGTGATTGTGGAACATTCTTGAAATTTGTAGCATTGAATTTAAAATTGTTCTTACCACAAGATTTAGGGGTTATCAGTCTCTAATTTTGACATCTGTTCCTTTTCCTGTGCCCTCACATTTTTTTCCAGTCTGCATACAGATTTTGGATCAGTATACTGGACTAAAGATGTATACTGGTTTTAATCAGAAAAACTTTCTCAGTACAAATTTAATTTGTCAGATGTCTCTGAAAATTCTTTGGATTTTTTCAAGTTTGTACCTTGACAACAGAATATCTATACATGTGGTTTCTCCTGACTTAAATATACCTGTTACCTGAGGAAGGACTAATACATAGTTTTTCCTTCAAACAAGAAGTTCCTAATGAAAAACTATTGAAAGAAAAGCAAAGAATTTTTTCTTTGAGGGCTCAAAATTTGAGAACCTGTGATGTATGAGAGAGAAAATAGAATACAATAAGTTGATACCCCTGTAAATACCTGCAGAATTAAAACTTTAATGTTCTGATTCTTCTAGGACACTAAGATATATGTGGAGGGAGATCCATGTTGATTTTTGGAATAAAACTAGTTGAAAATGTTTTTTCTGCCTTTTATTATCTGACATCAAGTTTTGGAGTTATTTGACATATATTCCAGCCCAGAGCCTGAAAGTGCAAGGAAGTGAGTTACTGTGTACTGCTTGAAGACACTAAACTGTGGATTACTTACGCGTAGTTTGGATTGGAAACGGAATAACAGTTTATGGAAGTAAAACTTATTTCATGTCAGACCGGAAAGCTGCCAAATTGTGTCTTGATAAACTCGTAGACAGCTGCATTGATTTTTGTGCAGCAGAAGATGGAAAATAATGTTGTGACATCCGTAAACACTTCTCATTTCTACTCACTTCTTATTCATCCTGTGCCTTTCCTCTAGTTTTCTGCATGGGTCATAATTTTTTTTTTCCTTTTGTGCCTTTTTTTTTGTCCTGAAAGGTGAGTGTAGTTCCATTTTATTTTTATTCCCCACATTGTGTTGTCTGTGAAGTATTCCAGTGCACATACTGTCAATAAACATGTGTGTTCACATGTAGAATTTCCATTCATGTAGAACACAGCCATAATGTTATCTCCTGCACAGGCTCAGTCTTGACATATGAAATCTCTGGATTCTTTAGATTTTTATTAAAATGTGGGTTTGTGCTTTGACAAATGCATCGGATTGGTGGCTCTGTTGAGAATTTACCTTAGTCCTTTAGCACTGAAGAGTCTGTACTTTGTTAACAGTGTAGGGCAAAATTCATCCCTGAGGAAAGATGTGATGATTTCAGCAGAAGATTTAGTGCCAGTATATTAGTAATTATTTATGTTTTTTTTGCCATGGATGTAATTGTGTGACCTTTGTTAAGTTGTACCATCTCTTGGTGTGAGCACACAGGTACAGTCACATGTATACCTTCTGGAATGGTGGTTTCATTATTGTTTTGTGTATTTGTATGAAGAACCTTTTAAGATCAACTAATTAAACATGCTTGAGCTCAAAACGTCTATTTTTGAGATCATCCAAAACAAAGATTTTCCTGTTCCTGCCTGATACTTTTAAAGAAAAACTACCTTCCCTTCTGTCTGGAAAACCATCACAGTGCATTAGTGTTGTTCAGCTGCCTGAAAAACCCTAAAGACTTCGACTTCTGCAGATTTATGAAGAACTTTTGTTTCCTGATCTTGGTCTGTTCTTTAAGTGGTTTCTTTTTTCTCCCTGACCTGTCAGACACTGTTTCAAGTTGGGGAGTTATTCTTTGGTTTCTTTGCCAGAATACATGGTGCTGATGCTTTGTGAGTGTAGTGCGAGCGCGTTGCTTGGGAGCCAGGGATTATGGCTATTTTCAGTGTGTTAATCTCGAAGGAATTGGGCAGCACCAGTTGTATCCTCTGTCTGAAGTTCCCAAGTTTCTTCCAGAAAAAAAGTCATTCTAGATATTTAATATCCTACCTTTAGTTCTATTGAAAACAGTAATTGTGTACCCAGGATTCAGAAGGGATTTTCTGGTTTGATCCCCCCCCACTCAACAATTTTTCTTCTGTGGAAAAGAAACACAACTCTTTGATCAGCCATCCACCTCCAAGCCCATCCTGTCATCCTTCCCAAACTGTTAAGAAATAGTAATTCACCACTGTAGGGAGCCACTTCTTACCATTTGTTGACAAACAACTTGATGTAAATGTCTAATTTGATCTATTTGCTTCTGGCTCTACTAAGATCTGAGTAGTACCAGAGAAATTGTTCTCTGTTCTCTGGGTCTATTAATTCAAATTTCTCTTGGAAAACTGATTGTCATGCAAACTCAACTTCTCCTAGATAGACCATTGCCCTGCCAATAATGCCTTTTTAATTTCTTCAAGCTTGTAGAAGCTTCTCGGTAGCCAGAACTTTTAATTTAATCATCTGCCCTTGCATACATGGCATTTTATCATGGAACTTAATTTTGGATAGCTCCTCAAGAAATCCCAAAACTTTTATGGCTTCATGCTGCTGAAAAATTTCTAAAGAACAGACAGACTGCAAGAAAGCATCAGATTAGTATAAGAGAATTCCCAGGCTCAATATTGAAATACATCTTTTACTAAGGCATTGTGTAAGTGGTTTTGGTTTTACTGCTTTATGAATTAAAGTGGGCCGTGTTAGACTGAGGTTTATGTCAAGATACATTTTCCATTTAAATCTGTCGCAGTTTCATAAATTATTAAACCTAAATTTCATTGATTTCCTTTCCACCAGCTGTAACAACCCTTTTGGTTCTCATAGTGATGGATTTTATGTTCCTTTTTAAATTACACCACTACCATGCTGGGGATAGGTTTTTTTGGTTTACAGAAGCTTAGCACACTTATTGCTATGCAATGTAAGAAACAGTGTACCTGGTTTCCCCTCACTTATAGCAGTGTAACACCACTGATTTCAGTGGAACTTCTCCTGGATTTAGCTCCTCTTGAGGGAGGACTCAGACCTGAACTCTGCTTTGATTCCATCCGTGTTTTGTTACAAGTCACTGTTAGAAAGGGTACACCAAACCATCTGTCTCTGACTTCTTTTTGTTAACGCTCAGAAGCAGATTCCAATTTCATTTGTAACATTTCATATACGTTTGGTCTTTAGTATGCTGGATTATGACACGGAGAACCTAAATTCTGATGAAATCTACAGCTCTCTTCGCGGAGTCACAGAAGCGATTGAAAAGTTTAGTTTCCGTAGTCAAGAGGACCTGAATGAGCCAATCAAACGTGATGGAAAGAAAGACTGCGACATTGTAAGTATTAGATTTGTTAATGTCCCCAGATAGATGAAATTTTAAAACATTGTGATCAAACCTGGCTGTGGATTGTTAGTATACAAAATTCAGTTATTCATTCTGTATTCTTACAAGCTTCTTCTGCTTATTGTCTGTTAACTTCTTATACCTTAATTACGGGGTCCCACTAATGTAGTCCCTTGCTCCCTTTGAAGCCTAGCCTCCTGTGAAATGTGCTCACTGGGCCCCTGTTGGAGTCCCATGCAGGCTGGAAACAGTGGTAGTGTCCCTCAGGCTCAGCATGGCTCAGAGATGGCTTCTTCCTGGAGTGTGTGTCATCAGGTCTATAATGGGAAATGTTAGCTCTTAAAATGCATGGATGGTTTCCCTCACAGGCTTAGGACCTGTAATCACTCCAGGTGCACAGCTCCTATAGTATCTTATGCTGCATGAATGGGTACACAATTGTCTCCCATGTGTAGTGCCTTTTGTTTTAATGAAATACACAGCCTTCAAAATTTAGGGGAATCTTAAATGATGATCCTTTCTTAGCAAATTAGTCCTGTACCAGAGCTTGTGATCTTTGCCAGTTTTTGCAGTTTTAGAGATTTTAACTTATATTTAGGAATGTTAGTTTAGTGTTATGCCCTGTGATCATGAGGGATTTTTGAGCAGTTGTAGTTATATAAAAGAGGTGGTAATCAGTTATGTAAGTATTATGTATAAGTAATACATATAAATGATTCTATGCCTCTTCCTGTTGGTGAGTGACTTCCAAAAAGCCTACAGCTTACACAGAATTTAAGTAGTCTCATATCTTTTTTTCTCTGTTTGATCCTCCAGGTGTCTCGAGATGGTGGCCTTGCTCTCCCTACTGGAGATGTCCGTGGAGGCAGTGACATTGTGGAAGGTGGAAGGATGGCTCTAGATAACAAAACCTCCCTGCTGAACACGCAGCCTCCCCGCGCCTTTTCAGGGCCACGTGCTCGAGAGTATAACCCCTATCCTTATGCTGACACCATTAACACGTACGACAAGACTGCCCTGAAGGAAGCAGTGTTTGATGATGACATGGACCAGCTTCGGGATGGTTTGTATCAGCTCCCTCATAAAACTGCAGGAGCTTGCTCCGTTTCTGGTATATCTGTGTATGGGTAGTGCTCTCAGATATGTGCCTGCCTGTGCATGTGTTGTGTATTACTTTGCATCTGAGTTGAGGCTTGATATGAAATACCCTTTGTCTTCATGTCCCAGCAGAACCTCATCTGTGACTATTGAGAAAACGTTATTCCGCGGTTTTGATTTTTGTTTGCCTGAAGTTTCCCTTAAACTAGTCCCTTAAGCATCTACATATATTTGTAGGGACACTATTTTGGGACCTTCCCCTCTTTATGACTGGAATGTTTCACTCAATAGCTTGTTGTTACTAAGTGTTTTACTTTATTTAAGTGGTGCTACACCTCAGCTTAATTCTTTTGCAGTACACTGATGAGTCACTGTACTTTGATCTAAAGGTCATGCATGTGACCACTGGTTTTGGGTGTGTGCATGTCTGGGAAAAAACCACAGCAGTTCTCATCTTGCAGAAGTAATTGTTGGAACTGGAAGAAATCCAGTCGTCATCTCTTCCTGGTTCGTTAGAAGCCATGTGCAGATTCATGAGCTGTGTTATGAACTCAGGTTATTGTGGGTTAGTCAGATTCTCTTGCCTGCTTGACTGAGGCCACTGGGAATTTGATGCATTTTTTTGGGGACCCCTTGTTGCATGCACTTTGTTCTGTAGAGGGTCAGTAATCTTGGCATCTTTGATCTGTTCCTCCTTTCTCCAAATGATTTGCTGCCATTTGTCCTAGAAGGACCCATTGACCATTCAGATTTGGTGGCTGATCTTCTGAAAGAGCTTTCCAACCACAACGAGCGGGTGGAGGAGCGGAAAGGAGCTCTCCTGGAATTGCTAAAGATCACAAGGGAGGATAATCTCGGAGTTTGGGAAGAGCATTTCAAAACCATTCTGCTCTTGCTGCTGGAAACGCTTGGAGACAAAGATGTGAGATGTAGATTTTTGTCTTTACTGTACATTGCTTCATCTGTGGTGATAGTTCCTCCACAGTTTAAATGAAACCAGCTACTCATCAGTGATGCTGCACTGCTTGCTTTTTCTTTTGAAGGTTGACAACTCTAGTTTTCACTGTGTTAAGTGACTCTGAAGTGTACCAGTTTTTCCCCTCCCTCCAGAGCATTACTAATAAATAACTATGAAATTGAACTAGACTCAGAAAAGAAGTTATCTTCTAATCTAGTACAAAAACTATCAACACTTCAGTGGTTGTTTCCTTCTGAGTTAGGATAAAGTTACAAGCTCTTAACTGTATTATACACATTCCCCAAAAGAAGGATAAAGGCATTCTAGAAGAAATTAATTTTTTTTTCCTCTATTTGGTTTAAAGACACGGGGTATTAGATTGCATTGAATGGGTCTCTGTCCCTTACAAAAATGTCATCAAGAACAAGCTGCTTCTGTAGGGGATCTTGTTTTGAAGTATTAAAAATTTATGTTATTATCACAGCGATTGTAATTCTGTAGCAGTGTAGGTGGTTTACATTTTCTCAATCATTGTTCATAGTATAAGCATGAGCTGCTGTAGTTCTACATGTTTAATCATAGCATTATCATGCATTTATCAGAATGGTGGCTTTGTCAGAATGGTTCATTCTTGTATCTGTGAGAACAGTAATTTCATGTGGATTTTTGTGCAAGAGAAAGCAAGGAAACCAATTCTGAATTTTTGTTACTTTGATTACACTGCTCACTCCACTGGAGCTGATAAAGTAAGATTTCTGGTGGCATAGCGAGCCATGAGAATTTACTTCTAACTACGATTTTGAGAAGTGACCTTTTCTAACATGGATTCTTCTTGACACAGCATTCAATAAGAGCCCTGGCGCTGCGAGTCCTGAGAGAGATCTTACGGAACCAGCCGGCAAGGTTTAAGAATTATGCAGAGTTGACTATCATGAAAACACTGGAAGCACATAAGGATTCCCACAAGGAGGTGAGTGAGCCTTTCAGTGTTGCTACTGGGAAAGCAATATGGACCTGCTGAAGAAATGCCTGTGAGACTTAACAGGAAAACTTGTTGACCCATCTTGACAATAGAACAGATTGATATTAAATCTCCCAAGAAGAGACAGATTTTTTCATGCTGAAGCAGTGAGGAAAAAAGTTGGGACCAACAGAGCTATTTAGGTGGACTTGGAGTTACCGGGAATTGTCGGCCACCGTTAATCAGCTTGCCAGCATTTCCTTGCACATTCTGGGAGAGGCTCAGACACTGTAGTAGAAAACTGCATGTTTCATTATTTTTTGGAGAACACTGGGGGCACTGTGCTGCCTCTGTCTGTAAAAGGTAAGGATAGAAAATGTACTAGAGAACACAAAGGCCATGCTTAAGCAGAATTGTGCGTGAAAATTGAATGGTGAAATTGGGCTGTGCTGGAGAACAGGGAACTGGTGAGTAACAGGAGAAAGAGGACATGCTTCAGGGGCAGAGGAAGAAGCAAAGAGAAGGGTGAATGGCATTTTCCTTTTGCGAGAGAACTCGTGTAAAACTGAAAGTATTCTGGAGTAAAGCAAGAGTAAAGGGACATGATAACGTTTGAAGTAGATCAATTCAAATTACATTTAAAGTCAAGCTTTGTAGATGGACTTCCAAGCTGGATCTTTTAATCTACCTTGTGCATGTTGCAAGTTTGAACTAAACCTTGGAAAGCACTATCAGAATTTCTCTGTATGTCTGTGATGACTTTGTTCTCTAAGACCTTGCTTTGAAATCTAAGACATTTATTCTCCTCTGCAACAGGATTGTCCTAAGCTAGCAATTTTGGGCGTCTCTGTCTGAAGAGATTTGGCCATGAAAAGATCATTGTATAGATCAGATTGCTCTAGAGCATTGTGTAACTGGCACAAGGTTATGTTAGCTGTAGGTAGCAGAAACTGTACTGCCTAAAAATCAAAATAAAAAACCCCCTCAAGGAAAGAAACTAACAGGCTGAATTTCTCTAAAATGCAAAAGCAGAAAATGTTTAATCCTTTAGTGAATGAGGGCTGCCCTACTCTGCTTGCTGTCCTCTCCCTGATTCAGAGCCTTTGCACCCCTGTCATTTTCAGTTCAGAGTAATAAGAAGCAGTTGTAAATTGATTTCCTGATAAAGCAGTCAGACAAAACATTATGTTCTGAAGGAGTGCCTTTTATTGGCAAGTTTTCCTGCTAGCATGTTTCTCAGTTCACCTTGACTCATTGCCCTTTGTTTTTGTTGCCTGAGAGTCCTCCAAAACTGCTATTTCTGTCAGAATTCACTGTCCTTGTGGGACTGATGGGTTTTGTAGAAATCAAGAACAGTGTTGAAAATATTATACTTTATGCCTCTGTACTCCCCACAGTATGTTCTTCATGCTTGTGGTGTGGAAAGGTTCTTCAGGATTTACATGAGTTACCTGCCAAGGAAAAGCAATGGATAAGTCTGCTACAGAGAAAGTGAAGCTCATGCTAGGAATGAAGAGATGGGAGTTTGTGGCACTCCTTTATAGAATAATTGAGGTGTATTGCTATCAGGAAGTAGCTGCTGTGCTGTACATAGCATGGCTTTGATTTACCATGGTTTTGCATAGCATCTTCATAATGAAAAATCAGCTGCTGCAATGGGACCTTTGGGTGACAGCTCTCATAGTAGAACACTGCAAGAATATTCTTATTTTCCTCCCTGTTGTGTGTGTAGCTGTATTGAGTGGGGGCACTGGTGCTGGATTTTTTTTTTCTGTGTGTGTTTTCTGATCCCTGTGTAAACGAAGCTCTCAAAACCATGATGCAGCCCATGAAAGGCATCATCTGTCTCTCAGTAGACTGAGAATATCAGCATTCCTGAAGTTAAGACAGGTACCTGCACTTGAACTAGGGTAAAGATATACCTGGGAATATGCTTTAGGTAGTTTTACCTGTAGCTGGGATTTGCTGATTCAGTTAAGTGTGTGAAAAATTAACCTAAGAGTTCATTTGGGCTTGGCCCAGTTGGTCAAACTCCTAGCTCTGGGCCAGAAGGTCACAAATTCCCATCCCATGGTGGCCCTTCAGCTCGCTCTCACTGCTGACTTTGCAGCACTGCTCTCTCCAGGAAAGGCAGAGGAGCTGCCCTTTGACTGGATCCCACTGAGCAGAAGATTAAGTGAAGATTCACCAATTTGTGATTGAAGGACACTTTCAAAGAATAGCTGAAGAAGGAAGGGAAGATCTGAGCAGTTTGTTCTACAGTTTTCTTTTTCTCTGTATCAGAGCAATACTAAAGGCAGTGGTGTTAGTGTCCTTAGACTACATAAAATACAGTCTTCCTCTAGACTGTAAGAAAGGCTGCTATATCATTTAGTTATTTGTGCCAGTGATGTCCTGATAAGATGTCACTCCAGAATTTGTTATATTTCTGGATGCTTCTGCCTTGTAGTAGAAGACAGGAGTGATCTCTGTTTATGGTTTGAGATCCTTTGGAGTGCAATAGGCTGTGTAAGTTAGCTGTGTAAGTGTCTGTTCTGAGCAAGGTGTATATGTCTCAGTCTTTCTTACTTGAATTTCCCCTTCACCACAGGGACTGCTAATTGCTTCAAGTTACTGCTCACGTTTTCAATTATGTTTGACGCAGAGAGAATCAGTCTAAAGTGACTAAGCAAAGGGAGTTTGAAGAGGAGCACAGTACAGAACTGGTAATCTTGGGTACTGTCTCCAAGAAGTTGTCCTACTAAGAGGCAGTTCTTTGGAAATCAAGAAGGTTCATTTAGCTACCCAAATTTCAATATTGCTGTTGTTCAGCATGGCCAGGAGAGATCAAATGATGAATTAAAATCAACACATTCACCAAATAGCAAATATCACCCCCTACCCCAACTGAGTGCTGATACCTAGTTAAAGATTTTTTTGAAACAAGAAAAAGTGTGTGGTTTTATTCTAGATTATATAGTTGGAAGTATCAAAGCAGTGTTAGCATAGTTAGATATTTTGGGATGCCTGGATAATTGACTGTTTTTCCAAGTCCAAAGAGAAGTCTTTAGACAGTTGAATCTTTGCCATGGTTAGAAGTCTTCTGCCTTCTGTTGCTGAAGGCAAGGTCTGGGATCAGCAGAGCAGTGCAGCTAAGAGCACCACATTTCCACACAGGGACACAGGAAAACTTGGTACCTGGAGTTGGAGGCTGAGTCTCACCTTGTTCTGAGTGCAAATGCAGGAGATTAGCAAAGCACAAACCTCAATGGCAGGTCAGAATTAATGTAACCCTAGGCTACAGACTAGAAGACTCTGGGTTGGGATCCACGTTTAGTTTGCATTTTTTAACTTCGTCGTGTTTTTATACTGTTTGTAGTATAACAGTCTATTCAATGCTGTTGATTTAATGGGGTGATGTGAAGAGTGAAGCCTGCTTCAGTCATAACTGGAAATATTTATGGGGGTTGACATGTAAATGCCTTTCACTTACTTTTGGAGCATTAGAACATAATTGAAGTTGTGGATGGTATTAAATCTTGTTGATTTTTATCAGTCTTTGTTTGGAGTTATTTGGAAGAGAACCATCTTTCTGTTGCCAATTAGTTAATATTAACTCATTTGTTCCAGTGTAGTTACTCACCCATAACTAAGGAGAGATGCTGCCTGGTGACCCAATACCATTGATATGACATTGCTTTGGATTCATACTAGCAAAATGAGGATAATTTCTTATTACTGTGTATATTAAAACAGAAATAGTTCATTATCTTGGGAATCAGCTGCAAAATGAAAAATCATAGGATAGCTAATTCTCTGCTTCTGTCTCTGCCATTCTGTTTTTCTCTGCCACTAAGCCTATAGACTTAACAGATGTGTATTTTCTGTGTGTAAGGAAAAAATACTGTGCCATATCTTAGATATCTAATTTCTGTATTTTATTATCTAGAAGGTCCATAAGCATAATTTATATGTAACATTCTTTGTTGTAACCCTCTAAAAGAGGGAGAAAAAGAAGAAATCACAGTTATCCATTAGCTATAGATAATTTTTATTATCTGCTGAGGTGCTTTTAGACTGGCCTCTGGCTTTTATAGGATTTATAACTGTCCTCTGATGATGGTACGATCTATGTAGGTTTCTACAAAATTTAGCTTGCTAAAGAAGAAAAGCACTAAATGATCGCAGTCTTGAAGATTAATTGTTATATAGGCCGTGCTGGAAGCTGCCAAGCACTGCAGCTGGGCAGTCATTGATGTTTCATAATAAACGTTTATGTGCTCTATTTCCCAACACATTTCAAATATTTAGTGCACAGGAGAAGCAGCCTAATCTACTTCATCTCTGAATCCCTTATAAAAATCGTATTGTTTTTTCATCTGCTTAGCACTCCCCATTGCTGAGGCCACTTCCTGCTTTGAAACCAAGTCCGTAATTGTTTGTTCCTGTCTGGATCAGACTAAAGCCTTCGGGGATGGGAGTTTGCCTGGCTGGGTATTGGTAAACCTCCATCCCCTCCAGCTTAGATTATACAGGCTTTAAGTAACCACCTCTAGATGGCAAAAATTGGCTCAAAAACATAGCCACATGCCTCGTAAGCATCAAAGCAAAACCTTATTCTTTTGCTTAATAAAATTCTCTGGTTCTCTGCGTGTTTCACAATAGTGTACAAAGCCTCAAAGCCTTTTCAGTGGGGTTTCACCTGCACTGCCTCATCCTCTCTAACTTTCTGCAGAGACAGTGTAACTAATAATCATGGCAAAGCACTCCAGCTTGAGGTTCTACCTGCAGCTCTCATCTAGGTGTGCAGGTGCTGCTTTGCTGAGATCCCAGCTTGTTACACTGATGCCCTGTGTAGCCCATGAACCTGGCATATTCTGCCTAAGGTGAGTCAGGACATATTTTTCTTTCCTTACTTGCCAGTAGTTTGTGTCACTTCGAAGCAGAAATGAAATTACCAAAACTCTTTAGAAAGCTGCTGCATATTGCCACAGATAAGCTGCTTGCTGCAGCCATCAGGCAGCAAACAT